TAGACTGTGGTGGCAAGATGAGCGGCTGTGTTGTGGAAGTGTGGGGACAGAGACCCTGTCATTGAGACCAAGGACTCTTAATGCTGTCACCAAGAGATAAGGACATCCCGGTCAAAGAAACAGAGAAAAGAATGGATCAGGGAACTACAACCTGGCCAAGAGGGAAAATAAAGCGTTGCAGACCCAGCAAACTGCAACAGAAAGCCAGATGCTTTGTGGAGTAAAAAGAAGTAAATGTAGGACTTCTGCCTTCAGGTGCTTTGAGTACGAGATGTCCTACAAATACTAGGATTAGTGCCAAACTATTGAACCCAGAGGCTCTGAGTTTAGAGGAGCATCTGCCCAGCTTTTGAACCAGTGCAAACTTCTGCTCACCAGAGACACACATGCCCTTGGTTGCCTGTATTTAGTGTGAAGGGGACTGAGCCCCTGAGGCCAAAGAGCCCTGGAAACTAGTCTCTGGGTGGAACAGATTAAAGAGATGGCCCAATCTAAAATCCTGTGCCCTAGGGATATGCATTCTTTGGGAACAGAACAGTCACAACACCACTTCCTGAATTAAGATGATTGTTCCTACTAAACTAGGGCCAGCCATCACTTTCTCTCCCTTTGGGCCTACATCACTCTGAAAGGGGAGAAATCCAAACAATTCCAAAAGACCTAATCCCAAAATAAGCCAAACTTCAGCATCTGTTCATGACCTTAAATTTGACTATCTCATTGACTTTCATAGAAGTGAAGGCTGCAAGGAAGAGTTTAGAATTTCCCTTAAGGCCATTGGAGACATTTTGGAAGGGCCTCAGAGTATGTGGAAAATTGCTGGGCATAGACAAGACATGGCTGCATTCCAGGACAGACAGAAAAAAGCCGGGCAGGTGAAAGGGGCAAGGCAGCTCACCCACCAAGGTTGTGCTTGGGAGATGAGATGCTATTCTGTAAGCTGTGGATAGACATGAAGGTGAACAAGAGATCTTACAGTATATAATTTCATTTATATGAAATTCAAGAACAGGAAAACTGATCAATGGTAATAGAAGTCAAAATAAAGGTTACTTCTGAGAGATGAATGTGGACCAGGAAGGGCTTGAAGGAGTATTGTGTGTTGAGTGTGCTTGTAATCTTACTATTGGAGGTGGTGGCTGTGTGGGTGTATGGATAAACCCTTGAAGCTGTGCACTGTGTTATTGTAGTTTATACATCAGTTTATGAAGGCTAACTGACCAGTGTGGTGGTGAGGAGATTGGAGACAGGGAAACTAGTGGGAAGGGATTGAAGGAGATGTTATGCTTTTCAAATCATTGTGACCATATATTTAATAGCTTTGCCTGGAGCAGGAATTTGACATATTCTGTATGTTCCAAGGAAATAGAAACTTGGGTAGGAACTTCAGGAATATAGTTTTGTCATTGTGTTTTGGGGAGTTTTCTTGTGTGGGGTTTGAACTCAGGGCCTTGTGCATGCTAGAAAAGTGCTTTTCCATTGAGCACTAGCTCCAGCCCAGGAATATAGATTTTGACCTGACCTAGGAACTGATGTTTTTCCTTGGGAGCTCAGGGTAGCATCCTTCATGGAGCACCTGCTGTGCATTTAGGTCTGGGCTACAAATTAGGCACAAGGATATAAGTAAGAGAGGTTACCCTCAAGGAACCTATTGTCTGTGGTGGGGGGACACACAGGACTTGTGTGTAAGTGTTTTAGTATAGTGCGATTCAGCATTAATTGAAGTATGTACAAATAATTGCAGGATTACAGAGAGGATTCTTTAGAGAATGCCTGGATAGGGTTTTTTAGAGAAAAACAAGTTTGTGAACAATTGAATAAAGTGTTGTAGGTGAGAGATGGGATGGGGGAGTTCAAGGGACAGGTGCAGGGAGGCATATGCCAGTGTCTACTGGGGTTGGGAGACTTTGGTATTACTGGAGCATTAGGTGCCAGGGGATGAGGTGGCAGAATAAGAGTAGGTTTGATTATCATGGTGGGGTGTGGGCAAGTGATACACAAGAGACTGATGTCAGGGCTTAAGCAAGAGTGTGAATTCAGGAGGTGGCTGGAGGTACTTGAGCTAAGTAGCCACGTGGGGATACGGTAGGGTGTGCTCAGAATCTAACCATGTCAAGACCTTTCAGCCCTCTTGACTCGTGAAATGCCATGTGGTTTCCATCTGTGTAAAGAGAAGCAGTGGAGTGGTTGTGCTAAGCTCAAATTCTAGTTCTGTTGCTTACCTGATGCATGACCTTGGACAGAGAAAGTACATAACCTTCCTGAGAATGTCATCTAAAAGATGAGGATAATGGTGACTGCTCAGTGTCTGGCTGAACCACATGAGAAGATGTATCTTCACCTGGTGTCTAGCAGAGGGCGAGTACTGAATACAGGGAAGCTGCCTTGGCTGCTTTAATGAGCCATTGAAGTTGGGCCAACAAGAGGGAAGACTGGGGAGGTAAGGAACGAAAAGAGAGCCAGTATAGCCAATTTTGTAGCCATGAGCCAGCACTTCACCACCTGGTACAGAGCAGCATGCTCACAGGCCCTTCCTTTTGGGAGAAGAGAAAGGATCTTGGAGCTTCTCATCTTAAGTGCCCATCTTGAGTTGTTTAGGGGCTCACACAATAGAAGGTCTTGCCAGTAATGCTAAAGCAAGATGACAGTTGAGCCATTACTGGTGGTGTGTTCTGCATTTCTTCCTGTGAGGCCAGTGGATCTGCTGGATTTGGAAGTGTGACTAAAGTCCTTATTCCCAGACTCCACAATGACTTTTGTTACTTTCAGGCAGAGTTCAGTGGTCCTCCACAGAGATGCCCTACAAGGCCTAGAAGACCAGAGGAGGGTGGAGGTGCTGTGTCCAGGCTGTGCCCTTGTTCTGGGCCGTGGGCAAGGGGCTTTTCTCCTTTTAAGACAGTCCTCCAGGGCAGAAAAAGGTGCTTTGGCTGTTCCTCCTCCTGCCACTTCCCCACTTATTTCTGCTTTTGATCATGAAATGACTAATTCCTTTTAATTTTGCATATTTTTACTGGTGCCCTTTTGTCCCAGGATAACTGACTCTATTTCACAGTATATTTTGTAGAATACTTAATAATAATTAAATGTTATTCTTTTTACATTAGATATGTAAGAGAGGTGCCCATTTTAATAAAGATTATTTTTTCCTGTCATTTTAGCACATGCCTTATTTGCATGGACTCAGTGACAATGGAGTCAATGGTTTATATAGTGGGAAAATACGCAGTCTGAACTTTTAGTCCTATCGTAATTCTCCATACCACCACACTAATTGTTTTTTTCTTTTTTGGTGCTGGATATTGAGCCTTATGCATGCTAAACATGTGTTCTAACACCAGGCTATACCTCATCTAGTCATTTCTTTTTGTAACAAACAAATTGCATTTTTTGGTTTTCCCTTGAGATTACTTGCAAGTCACTGGACAAGGGCTCTGTGGAGAACATCACTGGGGTGGCCTGCTATTCACTGCTCTGCCAGCCCTTGGCTGAAAATACCTTCCTGGGCTGCCATCCTAATACACTTCTCTCCAGAGGATCAGATCCAGACTCCCAGGCAGCAGTTCCAACCCTCTTAACTTTTTTTTTTTTTTTTTTAGAATCAGTTAAGGAGTTTATTAAAGTGCAGTTTCCTTTCTTTTTTTTATTATGTTCATATGTGCATACAATGTTTGGGTCATTTCTCCCCCCTTCCCCCCCAACCCCTCGCTACCCGGCAGAAGCTATTTTGCCCTTATCTTTAATTTTGTTGAAGAGAGTATAAGCAATAATAGGAAGGACCAAGGGTTTTTGCTGTTGAGATAAGGATAGATATACAGGGAGTTGATTCGCATTGCTTTCCTGTACATGTGTGTTACCTTCTAAATTAATTCTTCTTAAACTAACCTTTTCTCTAGTTCCTGGTCCCCTTCTCTTATTGGCCTCAGTTGCTTTAAAGTATCTGCTTTAGTTTCTCTGCTTTGAGGGCAACAAATGCTATCTAGTTTTTTGGGTGTTTTACCTATCCTCATACCTTCCTTGTGTGTTCTCGCTTTATCATGTGCTCAAAGTCCAATCCCCTTGTTGTGTTTGCCCTTGATCTAATGTCCGCATATGAGGGAGAACATATGATTTTTCAACCCTCTTTACTGTTGATTTGCCTGCTACACCAGGCCTCTTCCAGCCTGTGCTTGCCTTGCTTCTAGTCTTGTCCATGCCTTCAAATTGTCCAACTCCTACTTTCTGAGACTCAACATTATGAAATATTTTCAGGCAAATATCAGCTTATATAGATCTTTACTCAGAATGCTACTGGTATTCCTATGTCATTTACCTATAAATACTCTAGTCATTTCTTATTTGTCCCATAACACAAGATTCATAGGTGGTTGAAGTGCCAGACTGGAAGGTGATGGGAAGACCCTGTGCAAGTCTAGAGTCTGCCATGGACTTCCTGTGATGCCCTGCACAAGGCATTTGGATTTTCCATGGAACAAAATATAGGAATTGAACTAATTATCTGAATTTTCATTGAGCTCTAAAATGTCTTTATTGTTTTTTGTAAAGTCAAATCTGTCTATAGTTAGTGCTACTGGGAAATGATTCTTCTAAAGAAAAATGGCAGAGGCTATTTTAGTATTTCTCCCCTTATCCCACTGTGTGTGTCTCTGGTGTGCACATCAGTGTTGTCTCCATAGTGTCATGGAGTAAACATTTTTGTGTGCATTATGAGGTCTATATAAAAAATTCTAGAGTAAAAATTGCTTCTAGTTCAGTTTTTGTAGGTGAAAAGGAATGAGTTTTTCTTTCTGAGATTGCCACATAGATTATTTTTGTTGTTTGTGAACCTTCAAATCCTAATACTATACATTTTTTCTGGAAGGAAACTTCAGGACATTGTGTATGTGAGGTAAGATCCTAGCGAGACAAGACACTACTATGTCTGCTTTATTACTTGATTTTTGTGCTTTGATAATATATTTTCTTTTTTGTCTTTTTTTTTTTTTTTTTTTTTCACTTTGTAGCCAGAAAATGGGTAAGAAGAGTCGAGTGAAAACTCAGAAATCAGGCACTGGGGCTACAGCCACTGTGTCACCGAAGGAAATCCTGAATCTGACCAGTGAGCTCTTGCAGAGTAAGTGCGCCTTGGCTGTCCCTGCCACATGTAGTGGCAGTACTTTCCTCTGTACATCCAGTGCTGAGTGTGGGGCTCCCTGGAACATGAGCGTGTATCAGACCAGCTTGTGTTCCACTCCTAGCTTCCTAGCCATATTCCCTAACTTATAGTCTCTTCTGTAAAGATGGAGATACAGGTTCCTGTAAGGGCATATAACTGTTGAATATAGACCTTCTGTTTCAGAGCCACAGAACATGGTCCTCCCAGGAGTCCCAGGAACAGGAGCAAGCTCCACTGCTTTTTTAGCAGCATGGCCTCATGCAAGCTACTGAGGCTCAGTGTTCTTATCAGTAAACATAGATCACTGTTTCTGGGAGTATGACGAGGACCTCATGAGATTTGGCATGTGAAGATATATCATGGCTGTCAGCCCCAGGCAATCCTAGCATGCCTTCCAGGGAGTCAGCCCTCCTAGAGTGGCTCACCTTTATTTTCAGATTACATAACAGTGCTTCTGGTTTTCACATGCTGGAGCCTGAAAGTTCTTGATTCAAGGAAGTAAAATATCTTAAGTACCCATACTTGCTTTTGTAAGCTAGTATAATTTGATAACTTTTAAATTGGTGCTACAGATACCTCAGAGTTAGTTATTATCACTTCATTAACCTTTGCCCCTTATGTTTAGATTATGTGACAGTTCAATCTCAATAATTTAGGCTTTTCTCCCTGCCAGAAAGCAGGCAGCGGCAAAGTTAGAGTGAAGTCCCTCCCTGATAACTTTCATGACCCGTATGAGCCATCTTACCACCCATCATCTGTTTTTTTCCCCCTGGCCAGTAGGCAGCTTTTATCTAGGCTCCTGTTTTCTTCACCATTGAATTCCAGGGCTTCAGTCAGTGCTTGGTGAGAGAAGAATGAAGTCAGACTGGTTAACCTTAATAATTAGGAGTCAGCACATAACCAGTTCATGTTAATTATTTGCCATATATACTCTTTTTCTTAGCAAAGTGAGCAATAAGTTTAGCAGGAGCATGGAAAAGGGTTCTCTTTTTAAACTTTTAATATTTAAGAAGGAAGTGCTGCCAATAGGCAGAGTGCCAGCGTGCAGCCCTTCTGACAGCCCCAGCCTGGGGTGCTGGTCTTGCGGTTCAGGACTGAGAGTAGAATCTTAGCTTCTTGTTTAGCAGTGACTATGCCATCTCTTTAGTAACTCCCCCAGAAAGCTTAATATACTGATGTACACATGCATATGAAATATTTGTTGACTAATTGTCTTTATATCCAATTTAACTGGTTTCCCTAGAGAGCCATTGTTAGCTAGAAAGATATATTGACTTTTAGTATTATTTTCTTCTTACCACTTAGAAGAGTTCAGGGGAACTAGTTTACATTTTAGTTTAGCTTTTAGATTTTACCTGTTTATTGGGATATTCTAAGGAAAGGTATTAGAGTAGCAGGAATACTTTTGGATGGGAGCTGGGCGCTCACATGGGGCTCTGGGTCACAGTTTAGTGAGGGACATACGTAGGTTTCAGAGGGTTTGCATGCTTTATGTACCCACTTTATACATATCATCATGGTTGCCTTAGCTCTGCCCTTTAAACATAAGCCAACAACTCTTCCTTCTGCGGACTAGTGGGTTAAGTTGAAGAACAGTATTTCATGCTGTGGCCTTACGTTACAGAATGCAGCAGTCCTGCACCTGGCCCAGGAAAAGAATGGGAAGAGTACTTGCAAATCCGGTCTCTGGTTGAGAAAATACGAAAAAAGCAAAAAGGTAGAATTGTTACAATGATAATCATACTTTAACAATGTCATGTGGAAGTTTGGCTTGGGTCAGAGGGTTTTGAGAGTAGTAAAGGTCTCAGGTTACCATAGCCTAGCTATAGAAAGGCTCCTAGGCCAGGAGAAAGAGCACTCACCGGGAGACTGTTAGGATTGCTCCTGCTTTTGAGAGCAAAGGGTAAAATACTGAACTTTAGGAGGGAAAATGTTTGCATATGAGGGGTAGAATGATGCAGCTTTTATTTATTTTTTTACATTATGAATTTTTCTTTGGTGATTTAGAATAGTGCATGATACTATATGACCAACACAAATACATGCTGATTGATTATAACGTCTTATCAGGTGTTTATGATTAACTCCAACATATTTTGATTAAGAGATAGAGTTATAGTTCTTAAGTTGTATGGGTTTTTGTTGTTTTTTTCAGTGCTGGGGATCAAATCCAGAGCCTTGCACCTGTTGGATAAGTGTTAGTGATCAATATCTCCTACCCTTAAGCTGTGTTTTTATGGGGTGTATTTAGTAGCCATCTTAATGATTCTCGGTGAAGCTGGCAAAGGGGCTAAGTGTCAGTTTGAAAAAGCTTATTTAATATAGCTATTGTTTTTGTTTTATAAAGCATGAAAAGTAAATATTGGTATGCAGAGCCCATGGAAGGTAGAAGGAGAAAACATAAGAAGGAGCATGCATTGGAGGAGGAGCAAAACCTTATACTCCTTTTCTTATCATCATGAAAGAGAGGGTTATTTTCTGTTTGCTCTACATCTATAAACATATTATAGTCTTTAGCTTAGAAGGGCTCAGACTCCCAGTTGGTGAACAGGTTCCTATCTAATGTGTTGACTTGCACAAAATGGTGGATAGTGCTAATGCTCTCTCACCAAATAGGCAGCCAAAAAAATCTTTGTATATCCCGTTTTTCTTTTGAGTAGATACTGTTCATCATGGCTGACACTGAAGTTAGAGCATTCACCAGTCTTAATGAGGGAGGAGTAAATTCTGCCCTAGAATATCTCCAGTTCAAATCATTAGACTTCTTCAGCAGTATCTTTGCATATATGGCATGGCACTGCAGTGTGCCAGGCAACTGTATAGGGTGGCAACATTGCCACAGGTATGAACTAGGTTACATGCTTGGCTTCTTATATTACTAGAGTGCTTGTTTCCAAAACATGATGGATAAGTGTTAGTGGGTTTTTCTAATGCATGACTTTTCATCTCTTTGAGTTATTCAAACATGCTGAAAGCCCAGAAAATAATATAGCCCCAAATTGAGCACATGTCAAAGTTTATTGGTTCTTGTTCTCTTCCTTCCCTTCCTCCCTTCCTTCTTTCTTTTCTTTCCCACCTGCTCATCTGCTTCCCTTTCCCTCTATCCTTTGTTTTGCTTTTGTATTTGTATTTGTTTTTAATAACTAAAACATTACTGATAAGAGTTGTAGCCCCACACTGCTACCTATTCCATTCCCTTCCTCTTTCAGAGGTATTTATCTTTACCGTTAATGCTTTTCTGCTCCATGTACAATCCCATAAAGCTACAAATACAGCCATATACAGTTGTAATTGGTCTTTTAAGAATTTGTATAAGTGGTGTCTTACTTCATTTTTAAAAAGACATAGCATTATATTTTGTGTTTTATTTGCATTGACACTTACAAATATGACTCATTTAAGTTGCTCTACAGTGTTCTGTGTTATAACTGTAGTTTTATGTTCTTAATGTCAGGACTGCGGAGCTTTCTCATCCTCTCCTAGGTCTCATCCTTTCTAGCTTCCCCGGTAACTACATATTACTGATTTTTGTTTTTATTTTTGTTAAGTCCAATGTGAGTATGAGAGATGGTGTGTTACATTATTTTGACTTTTTTTTTTTTAATTTGCTATACTGTTGGTTGAACTCAGCCCTCACACTTGCTAAGCAGGCACTCTACTAGCTCAGCATGTTGGACTTTTGAAAGGAAAGCTGCTCTGTGGTGGTAACCAAGGCTTTTCTCCCATTGCCATCATATTAACTAATAGTACCTTGTTTTCAATATTCCTATCACCTAGTACCAGGACATATTTGGCTTAATTGACAGGGAGTGTAGGATTTTATTTGCCTCTCTTTGAGCTTGTTGAGATATGTACCATGACTACGTAGTGATTGGTTTTGACTATTTCAAGGTGGTGTTAAGACTAGACCCAGTGTGAGTTGTGCTCTGTTTTTATTTTCTGAGAGCCATGTGAATAATACATGTCCTAAAAGCAGTTCTTATTTTCTAAACATGAATAATATAGGTCTGTCTGTAACCTTTGATGGAAAAAGAGAAGAATACTTTCCTGATCTAATGAAATGGGCATCTGAAAATGGGGCTTCTGTCGATGGTTTTGAAATGGTTAACTTCAAAGAAGAGGGCTTTGGTTTGAGAGCAACAAGAGACATCAAGGTGAGTTTAAAAACTGTTGGTCTGAAAGATCCAGGTGTTGTGGTGTCAGGGCAAAGGGCATGGGGCAGATGCCTGGGGCTTGTCCAGAGCTGTGTGGACAAATAGTCAGCATCCCCCCTCCTTGTGGGCAGTGGTCCCTTTGCCTGTCCATATAGGAGTGGAAGAGCGTCAGCCCAGAGTTTTAGGCAGCCCCACTAGCTGTACTGGGGAGTTGTGCTTTTCACAACACCTTGGGGTAGTCAGTTCACATTTCCACACCTTTGTTAATAGACCATGGAACATGTCTCATAGGATTTTGAGATTTAACTAAAGAAAAGGATGCGGACTCATGATTGGAGGGAAAGCACACAAGATCTTAATGATGGATCAGAGGAATACGGTAGAGGATGGACCATGTTGAGGGTGTTAACTCTTGTTCTGGATAACTGAGTAGCTGAAAGTGCCACTCTCGGGAATGGCAGCACCAGAGGTGATAGGGAGAGGAGAGGAGAAATAGACAATTTGTTTAGGGGAAAATGCTTTTCTCTGTGTTCAGCCCTTCTAGTAACGCAGTAGTAACTCAGCATTCCTGGCCTCTCTCTTGTCCTTGCACCTGCTTTTCCTAAAGGGGAGGGATAACAGTCCGAGTTTGAGAGAAGGGACTTGGATTGGCCATTTTCTTGGTGGGAGCTGGTTGCCTGGGCATTCATTCTGTTCTGTGCTTTCCACCCCTAAGCTTCGCAGGGGCAGGCCCACGTAAGGGGGTATGCTTGTAACTAGGTGGGGGAGTTTGTCTACTTCTAAAACTCAGTAGGTGGTATTTTGGGTGACCATCTGTTGTATTCTTGCATCTCTCTCAGTCAGTTCAGAACGTAGGTAGAAGAAATGAGTATTATTAATTTGGGCCCCTTCAAACCTCCAGCAGCATTTCTGGTCAAACTGTGGTTAATCTTTCATTGATACACTGATAAAGCATCTACTGGCATATTAGGTATCTGTTAAATATCTACTACCTGAGCGGTATCTTGTTTATTATTATACCAGATTAAAAAAAAAATACCTGGGTTTCTTCCTTTGTGCTGCTTATATTCTTTAGTAAGGGGCAAGGTACAGAAAATGATTCAAATAGTAGACATTGGCAAAGGCAAGATGTCATGTGCCCTTCTTTTGTATCAGGTGAGAAGCCTCATTAGTGTTGATACAGTCCAGAATATCTTATGTATGTGTTTTTTTGGGAGACATTTATTTCTCAGAGTTCTGGAGGCTGGAAAGTACAAGATTAAGGTGGCAGCATGGTTTGGATCTGGTGAGGGCCTTCTTTCTGTTGCAAACAGCATCCTTCTTGCCATATTCCCACGTGGCTGAGAGCTGTGTGCATGTTTTACACAGTATAGATAAACACTCAGAACATACCCTCCAAAAAAGCAGTATTTCATGTTTCCAAAAAATGACACAGTACTTTAGGAAAAAAATTAGTAAGCCAAAGTCTGTCTTACAAGTTTGTGCCTTTGCCCTCTAAGTGTTATGCTTTGAAGATAAGTATGTAGAGGAAGGAATGTCCCTCTGACTTCAGGATCTCAGTGGTAGGAGCAATTTGCATTGACAAACTAGGGTTTTTATTGGAGGCAGAGATTGTTTTGTTTTGTTTTTAGAACTTAAAAATTTAAATACAGTAAACAATAAAATAAGCACCCTTTGTGCCTTACTCCAAGTATTATATTTGCTTCAAATTAAAGTTGAATGTTCATTTTTTTGATTATTTGCATTCTCAGTATAACTATACAGTGTATAGAGTTTTCAGCTTTTCTACTAGAAATAAGATTTTATACTATGTTCTACTTTATAATATAAATGCTTACATTTAAAAACATCTGATATTTGGAAAAAAAGCACTGATGTGCAGCCTTAAGTCATATTTCATGTGTGATTGGATTTCTGACCATAGACATAGTTGGATTGAAGATTGACATGTTTTGATGATTCTACTGTTTTTTATTTTTTTCCCCTAGGCAGAAGAATTATTTTTATGGGTTCCACGAAAATTACTAATGACTGTTGAATCAGCTAAAAATTCAGTATTGGGTGAGAATAATTTCTGTTTGTTTAAGGCAAAGTACAAATGACAAAAGTATATAAAATTCCATTTTTGACAATAAGGAGTGTATTTCGTTGTTTTCTTAACTGGTAAAATATCCTTCAAATCCTCATTAAATATTTCCCATTTTATGTCCAGAGAAAGATGCACATGAATTTAAATGTTACAAAACCTTTTACTTTTTTCCATAATTTCAATATATATTTTGAATGCCTGCTTTTAAAGAAGTCTATGGAACTTATGCTGCTAACTTCTGGGTTAATTCAGGGCCCTTATATTCTCAAGACCGAATTCTTCAAGCCATGGGAAATATCGCGCTGGCTTTTCATCTGTTGTGTGAGCGAGCTAGCCCCAACTCTTTCTGGCAGCCCTACATTCAGACCCTCCCCAGTGAATATGACACTCCTCTGTACTTTGAAGAAGAGGAAGTTCGGTGTCTTCAGTCGACACAAGCTATACATGATGTCTTCAGCCAGTACAAAAACACAGCTCGACAGTATGCCTATTTCTATAAAGTCATTCAGGTGAGCAGAGTGGGCAAGAAAGGGGAATTGACTGCATGTATGTTCCATTTGACATCTTGTGAAGGTTACTTGAACATTTTGCTTTTTAAATTAAAAATATTCCAGTAAATTCAGTGTTTCCATTTTTATAGAAATACCACTGCAGTATAGTTTTGAATGTATCTGACTTCATCAGTATCAAGTGTTAATATAAGCAAGTTGTGAGTTACTAAAGTCACTAATCTTTTTGAAAACAAAAACCTATGATGAGATTTTCAAAGCTATAAAGTGTATCTGACACAAACAGGGGCTCTGTGTGTAAAGTTTCCAAGAAAATGCAAACCCATTTCTGGATTTCTCGTATATATGTTAGTAGTAAAATATTGACAATTTAGTAAATTGTAATATAGTTTGCTTATGTTTTTTCAGGGTGTATTGTGTATTACATTTTAATTAGTTCTAAGTAAATTGTCATATAAAAATCTCTAGAAGGTTGTGATCTTAAATTATACCTGATTATACCTTTCTGTATTTTGGTGGCTCGGCTCCCTTATCTTATATTTCCAGTTGCACAGCAGTTGAAAGGTTCAGGGTGAGTGCTGCAGGGTGCCCCACTGAGCTGAGGAGTGGTGTGTCTCTGTCTCCTACTCTCTCAATGCTAGGAATGGACCCTGGGCGGTGGGAATGAAACTACATGTCCCCTTTCCCTTTTCTTGGGCAACTTGACAATCTGAATCAGGTTCATTTTGTTGTTTCTTAAATGGCCTGTCCCTGCTGTGTTTTATTGCAAGAAGTGGTGATCTTACTTCATGCTGTGTAATACTATTTTCCATTCATTATTTTTACTTTACAGCATGTTTACTGAACAATAATATTACGCTCAGAGTTGTATTTCCCCTACCAAATACTTTGATTAGGTCAAAAGTTACATGACATATCCTCAAGTAAAAATCACTTTGCTTTTCTAATCCTTAAATGCTAGGAATTCATTAAATATGATCATACAGTATGTATACAGATTTTATTTCAAGTTTTCTTTATTTAAAAACTAGTGATGAGGTCAAATCAAAATTTTGCCCCTTCATTTAGTAAGCACTACAGTCCTGTACTGTAAAGGTTGCTGTGGCTCTTTATCATCTGAAATGGTTGTGCTTTTATTCCTAGTTCTCAATTGTGTATTTTGAATAACTAAAATTAAATTTTATGAGTGCAGTTCATTTCCTATAGTTGAACAATTAACTGCAAATTGGCTCTTCTCACTAACATGTTTTCCAAATCTAGGCTATGATTGGTTGACAATTGCTGGTATCCTCTTCTGTGAGCAGTAGGTTCTCTTGTCAGGCTAGGAATTCTAGAACAATGACAAGACTTCTGACAGCTGGCCAGGCATGAGTGATCTTTGGATATTTTGTTGCACTCACTGGTCTGTTTATTTCATGTTAACTAACTAGTACAGCTTTGCTTCAAAATTTAAGGAGATTTTGCATAGATGTGAGTCACTAAAATAGATGGAATCATTTTCTGTCAGTTTAAGAGCCAAGTCTCTTAACTCCCTGAAATAAACCTTAGAAGAGGTAAAGGCGACTGAATTATACTGCATTCTATGTAGTAAGTAGTAGTATTGGTAGCCTCTCTGGAATTAGAGTAGTTTTTCCAAAAGTACTAAAATTTTCACGTGACTAATAAGAACAACCTGTTTAATTTATAATAAACACAAATATAAAAATATCTTTTTTTTTTTTTTTGAGTTGGGGAATCTCACTATGTTGCCCAGACTGGTCTCAAATCCTTACAAATAACCACATTCTTGATTAGCTAGTGTTTTTAAGTCAATTATTCCTTTTTATTAAAAAATTTAAACAACAAATGTTGAATAAGGTATATACAGATGCAAAATTATTAGGTCATCAAATACTAGCTTTTTTTTTCCCCACAATTAAGCCAATATGGGGATTTAAAAAAAACTTATGATTTAGAAATCAGACTACATCTTTTTCTGTCAGAAGTATTAAACTGAAAAGAAGCAAAATGCTTCTGTGGTCACATAAATAAGTTATTTTGTTATTTATTTATTTATTTATTTATTTAGGATGTACTGGGGTTTGAACTCAGAGCCTCGTGCTTCCTAGGCAGATGCTCTACTTCTTGAGCCATGTCCCCAGACCAATTCTTTTGTTTTATAGCCATGGTTCTTAGTCAGAGGGCATTTGATAATATTGGGAGACTGGATTGTACTCAGGGCCTTGCACATGCTAGGCAAGTTTTCTACCACTGAACTACATCCTCGCATCTCACTACATATCCGAAACTTATGGTTTTTCTGCCTCTAGATCCTGAGTGCCAGGCTCACAGGTGTGTACCACCATACTTGGCCTGGGAGACATTTTTTAAATTTTTTTTATTTTTTGTGGTACTGGAGTGTGAACTCAGGGTTTCTCAAGATAGGGTTTCAGGAACTATTTGACTAGGGCTGGGGCTGGTTTCAAACTGTGATCCTTCTGATCTCTGCTTCTTGAGTAGCTAAGATTACAGACATGAGCCACCAACGCCCTGTTACAGGAGTAGGGGATGCTCCTGGTCTCTAGTCTGGGGACACTGCTAAACTTACTATGACAGACAGGACAGCTCCCATAATAAGGACTTTTACTGCCCAAAATGCCATTAGTGCTAAGGTTGAGAGGCCCTGCTTTGTATTTGTATATGTATACAGAAGAAAGTGCTTCAGAAACCTAGATGATTTAAAAAATTACCATAATTCCCTTCTAATGATTGGAGGCCTAGACCTGACTGACAGTAGTTGTGAGGTACTTTGCCTATTCTGTGAGAGTCTTCCTGTTAACTAACTGCAGGCTCCTCCCTGGCTCTAGGTGCATGCTGAGGCTAGAAGAATGTATTTAGAGCCCCTTTTTCTTACTGTCATGTAACAAATATCTTTACTTATTAAAAATCTACAAATACAAGACTAGGTTCAGAGATGTTTAAGTTAGTAAGGATAAAATATAGGGGAACAATGAAAAAATGTAAATGTAAGATTCAAGTTACTCCATGCAGATTTGGTGGAGTCCAGTTGAGACCAGACCCTATGCATTGGGCAGGGAAAGTGAAATGTGTGTGTTGTGGGGTGTGATCACTTTCCCAGGTAGTTGGGGGGCGGGGGGGGTGGTGGTCTCATCAGGAAGCGGCATTTGAGTGTTGGAGAAAAGGAACCATTGTCTTTGAACTGGGTGGTCCTGTCTGAATGTGGTTCAGAAAGATTCAAAGCAGTAGAGGACAGCCTTCTGGGTAAAGGCTCGATGTCTGTTGGAAAGAGGACAAGCCTTGCAGTAAGACAAACCTGAGTGGAAATCCTGATCCATATCTCAGTTGTTAGGCAAGTGGAATTTGGAATTAGTTGCTTTATTTCTGAGTTTGTTTCCTGATATGTGAGATAAAAATATTAAGATCCAGTTTTTAGCTTGACCAAAAACATGCTGTGAGCCCCAGTTGGATTGCTTGTTAAACTACCAAGTACAATATCAAGCCCCATTGCCTATAGTTGGTAGGATTACAGTTTCCTTTGGGAAACTCGATGGACACAAAGCATGAAGCCACCTTTACCAGTGCAGTGTGGTAACTGAGAGGGAGGATTCTGGGGCAGGCCTACTAGAGCTCTACCCACTGTGGCAGTGCTTGGCACTCTGCTACATTGCGTAAGTCTCTGGGCTTCTCTTTCCTGGGCCTGACTCCCAGAACTGCTGAGTGGACAGAATGAGTTGATCTGTGTTCCCTTAGTGTAGCACCTGCAGAAATTCTCCACTCATTTTACTTATCAGTTTCTGTTTGAATCCTTCAGTCCGTTTCATTTTTTACTGTTAAGATGCTTCTCCCCTCCCCCTGCAATACTTTGTGTCAGTATTTCTTAACCTTTTCTCCTAAAAACCTTGTATGGCCAAGAATAAGGAAGAGCCTTCTGCAAGATTAGGGTCTTCGCCCATAGTGACTCATTACAAGTTCAGAATTGCTTCCAAGTCTCATGTTTCTGTTGATTTTTAGATTTGTGTTTTAAGATCTTAAAAGTTCATACAAATGTTAATGTTTGCTGTAGTTTTAAAATTGTGTTAAGTGACTTACATCAAGTCAGATGGCACTGTGGGAAAACAACTCCCCTTGTAAGAACTCAGGGTGTCTCATGGTGTTGTGTGAGATGCAGGGTGCTAACCTGTCAGTGCAGTCAGTTAGCTGTAATTCTTTTTCAGATAAAGAAAATATGACCATCATTACTGTGGTCAAAAAATAAGCAGCAGAAGGGATCGTTGTAAGTTAAAAATACATAATAATGAGCTTTTTAGAACATTTCTTAACCAGGAATAAAAATTCAAAAGCGCCTGTTGGAGTAGGAGTTCCAGGCAGTCTAGAATGAGGTGGACAAAAAGGAATGAGGTCAGCTCCAACAGCTCAGGTGGAGGCTAGAGGGTAAGAAGAAGGTTTGTCCATTAGGATTCCTGACAAAGAGATTTAAGCAAAAGTTATCTTGTTGAAAACCATCTCTTGAATCTAGCTGTTTTTCTAGTTTTAGAATATTCTTACCACTTCCGAAAGTCTTCAGTGGTAAATTAGAATAAATGGAGATGTTAACATTATACTGCTATTATTATTATTTCCCATCTCAATAGCAAACCAGATATCTTTCTCATGCTTTTCTGGGATCAGATGTTAGGTTTCTGCTCCTTTTTAGTAGGTCACTTCATCAGGGCTTTATCATGCAGGGAAAGAACATTATTGTATCATGTTTACATTCAGATTTAACAGTTTCATTATAATGGTCTGCTCTCAGGGTCTCTGCCCCTCCCCCATGGTTCTTAGTCCTTTCCAGGGACTTGAGGACCCTTTCTCCAGAGAAAAATGCACATGTGTATTATGTAACAAACATTTTCAAATCATTGCAGGGTGAGGGGGGCCGGTGTCCAAATTCCAGAACCCTATTTGCAGTTGTTAGTAATGATTTCCTAGTTAGAATCATTTCCCTGGGGGCCCTTCGCCCG